TCCGAATGCTTCCGCTTCTAGCACTTCTTTACTCTGTCGCCTTAGTTGACCGATTGAATATTAGTGTCGCTAGGACAGCCGGCATGGGCGAAGCATTGGTAAAAACCCGCAGTTCTTGCGGGACGATTCTAATCTTCGTGCTATAGGGACTTGATGTCGGATCTCGATACAGTATCGCGACGTGCATGTACTTTATTCCTTACGTGCTATTGTACGTTTTTGTCTCTTATTTTTGCTGCGAGCTCCTAGCTAATCATTCGGATAGTCAAGTACCTGGGAATATCCTTCTTCGCAAGATAGGAGCGCGCGTCTTCCTCTCTTTTATTGTGACCGCATGGGGCGCGGTATGCTTATCAATCGGGTTCGTCAAGACCTGGGAAGTCCTTACCGTTTTACGCGTGTTGTTGGGTGCCATGGAGGTGCAAATCGCTCCGTCATTTCTATCTTTTGATCGGGCCTGACTCCGCGTAGGCCGGGCTCTTTCCTGCTCTTGTGTATATCATCTCAACTTGGTAAGACTCCCCTCATTACGTTCTACATTATCCGGACCTAATTCCATCTTTTCTGGCTGTAGGTACACGCGCCATGAAGTCGCAAAGAGGTTTGTTCCGTCTACCCATCAAATGTCAGTTAATTGACATGTTCTACAACTGCCAGGCTTGCTGCATTCTACATGATATCTCTAACGATTGCCGGGTTTGCTCCCATCCTTGCCTACTGCATCAGTTTGCTTGACGGAAAACGGGGTATTGCCGGTTGGTCCTGGATCTTTGTGAGTATTTGTTGATTTCTTCAGTGATTTACCTCCGTTATTCATGCGGCGACCATGCACTATTACAGATCATTGAGGGCGCACTCACAATATTCCTGGGCATCATCACGTACCTTTATGTCCCTGATTTCCCGGACAAGAACCGGTTCTTGACCCCGGAGCAGACAGCAGTGGTTCTAAGGAGGATCGAAATTGACCGTGGAGATTCGGTGCCGGATGTCTTGACACCAGCTAAGATTTGGTTCCACCTGAAGGATTGGTCGATTTGGACCTATGGTATGTAAAAACATGACGCTTGGCGTTGGGTCCTGGCTGATTGGAGGTGCTAGGCATCATGCTGGCGTGTTCGACTGTGCCGTCGTACATGCTAGCTTACTTTATTTCTATCATCCTGGGTGGTATGGGCTACGGGAGAAGTATGTCCCTCCTTCTGGTAAGTCCCATCTATTCAGTGATCAAATTCTCGGTTGACTAGTGGTTTCTAGAGCGCGCCTCCCTATGGTCCAGCGGTATGCTGACTTCCATCACCGTCACCTGGGCAGTAACTTAAAAATATTCTCGCTAGTTCATCTCTGCGCTCTTCTTTGCATGGATATCGGACCGATACAAGCACCGGAGCTCATTCATCATCATCCAAGCATGCATTTGCATTGTCGGATGTTGCTTAACAGCGTTTTGCCAACCACATGCCTTGCGGTACTTTGGTAGGTGCTCTCCTTTATTCTCAACTTCCATTACTCAAGTCAAGTCACTAGGGACTTTTCTCATCAACATTGGAAGTGCGGGTGCCATACCATGTATCCTAGCGTATGGTGCCTAATAACGTCGTATCGCAGAGTAAACGGTACGTACTGATGACCCTCATTCTCGGCTTCCCTCCCCTCAATACCCAATCCGCTCATCATCATCATTAGGTCGGTGCAAACTGCGTTGACTTCGGGCTGCGCAGGTATCGGCGGAATCATCGCTTCGACCGTATTTCGGGAGAAGGATTTTCCAAAATATGTCCCTGGTGGGTATTCTTTTCTCCTCACTTCACCGCTCTGATATACGAAAATTCCTAGGTCTGTGGGTGACGATCGGGACCCAAATTGTGCTCATTGGAGTTGTACTGGTGACAGTGATACATTTCTCGAGGCTGAACAGGCTGATGAGAGAGGGCAAGCTGAAAGAACCGATCCAGGGTCAGCCAGGGTTCTATCATACATTGTGAGGGCGGAGGGCGCACAATGCATCCGTACGCAAACCAAGTAAACTAAAACACAAGTGGCTCGAGACCACTGTTACTCAATTGATGCACTGTAATTATCAACTTTGTACCTGAAGCTATAGATTAACATTTAATGGAATTGATGTATTTTTTTTGACTGGCAGCTGAAATGAGATAAAAGGGAAGGACTCGACTAGCTTTGTGCCTTCGTGCGCACGGTTGTCGCGGGTCTTTAGATGACCGGGACTTGTCTAATATTGGAACCTCCGTCTTGTTTTGGGCTGTACGCATGCCGGTGGAGATGCTGTTACATATTGCAGTTGGCTATACTCGGAAGCGGAGTAGTCAATATGAACCACTTTTCGAAAATGAAGGGCATCGACCTGCAGAACTTCTAATCGATAGTGATAGAAATGGTAGGGAAGCCGAGGGAGTAGGCGAGATTCACCAGAATCGCAGTCCGTATGGATGGAAAGATCCGTAGATATGAAACTGGGAGAGCTTCGATAGGCTGTATCGCACTCACGCCGTTCCCAGGTAGATATGTAAGTATAAGTATGGAGCGACGGAAAGTGGAGATATACATGATAGTGATGCTGACTTCGTCATCGGAGCCGTGGCCTGTTTACTCAGCTGGAAGTAATTCACGTGCTCTTCCACATCAATTCAAAGCATCAATTATGCACCATCTACCGAGGCGTAAATTCAAAAGCAATGCACTAGCTTCGATCTACTTACATATTCTTGGCAATCATCCTCGGTCACTAGTACGTCTTTGAAGATGCCTTCTATCATCCTTTTTCTTATGAATTGTTGCTGTTACATCTCACTCCGGGTAAGCAGTTATTTCAGGCGAAGCCAAACCGGTGAAAATGGGTGGATAACGTATAAAATTCAGACCCGCGCTTTTGACCACAGCAAAATGAGTCGGGATTCCCTTTATCAATGGTATGTAAAGCCAACGGATTTTGCTGTGGTCAAAAGACCGTGTCAAATTTTCGTCTCTATTCCAATCATTTCTCTGGAATTTTGACCGGCGCGACTGAGTCACCTGCCAGGAGTATCTTCCACCTCTCTGTACGCTCACGTCATTCAAATTTTGACAAAAAAGCGTCCGTTACGCACATGATCCATACTTAAACCGCTGCTCGAACGTAGGGGGATCCGCCATACTTACAACTCCGGGGTCAGCAGAGTTGCAGCAGAGTGCTGAATCGGCTCTGTGTCATGAATGCACGAGGAACTCCGACGACTGGGAAATTGGTCCGCGCCTTTGAATGATAGGGATAATTGGTCGCACCGAGAAAGATTCCAGATTCAGAGAGACTACTCCAGAGGAAGCGCTAACCCTGGATCGGCCTTTGCAGCAATATGAAGTTCAATATCGCGAAACCGCTTCGAACACTCAGGTTAACGACCGATCTGATGTTGTTTCAATACAATGTCATTTTTCGAGTCGACGATTGTCTAGATGCGCTGCCCTCGATCAGAAGAAGGCTCCAAATTTGAGTTATAAGAGGCAGATGCTCCAGCACACGGTTTCTGTGATTCGACCTGTTGTGTGTGATAAAAGGATCGAGGGATAGCGGAGATGATTTATTGGAGTCTACCTATGGTCATTCTCGGGCGGCATTCACGCTGTCGCACAACGTCATTGCAGCTAGCTCAGTTTTGGGCTGTCCGTGTCATTGTACTGAAAGTAGCATTCACAGCATATAAGAATAGTCTAGGGGAGTTGAATGAGGTCATGTCAGAGGATCCATCATGCTGGAATGATACGGTATCGGCATCCCGTTAAGATCCACCATCGCCAAAACATAAGTGTCTTGGGAGATATTTATACAGGACGTACATTTGTACTTCTTTCCGCGCGTTCAGCACAGGCAACAAAGGATCGGGTTATCGAGCCAGTGTATTTCGTTATTGTATCTGATGTGGGTGTAGATATCGGGCCCTGTCAGACAAATGGATGCGATGCAGGCAAAATTTGGAATCAGGAAGGGCCATTTCACGGAGACTCGACAAACGAGGATGACGGTATTGGAGCTTGATCACTGTTCCTCCCTTCCTACTGGTAGACCATGACGCATCTGATAGAACACAGGCGATATGAACAAGCCCAGGTCCTACGGGAGAAAGTCTATTGACTTTCGCAGTGATAATCGGATGGGAAGGCTGTGCAGAAAAGTTACATAATCGCAGAAAAATCGCGTCAATAACGCGCCAGGGACACGTGAGCATGTCACGGTCCCCTCAGTTTTGACAGATGGCTTTACTCTTTCTCCTAGGTCGCGTTCAAAAATATTCTGGCCTGTCAGCTGCTGTCAGTTTACGAGGTTAGAAAAAGTTTTCACCGATCCAAGATTGCGCGCAGATATAGATATCTCTTGGCTTCCACTAAGGATAACCTTGGGTATAGAGCGGATTCGATGGCGGATCCATAGATTTCTCGGGAGAAAAAATAGGAATAGCTCGGCAGGACAATCAACGAGCGAACGAACCGATCGCTCTAATTGCTATCCCAACGTACATAAGAGGATTATTCTTTTACACACTCTGGCGAAAATTTTCATCAGTTCACCGGTGTATCGGACAAAACGCGGAAGGAATCATATGAACGACTCACCGGGTCATGCCAACGTGGTCACGGTCGGGTGATATAGGTATCGGGTCTTGGTGCTAGTGAATGGGCGCGATGGTAAGTATAGACTCGGATTTGAAACCGCCAGTTGAACTGGTTCTGAGCCAGGAAGTTCCTAATCGATAAGAGGAGGAGGAGGGGGAAGGAAGCTTAAAGGCGATTTCATGGAAATCGTGCTTCGACCCTGCATCGGTTCATGACGCATGGTATCACGGGTGAGAGATTGTATAGATAAGGCTCGAGATCAGAATGATATCATTGCACTTTCTGCTAACCCTTGATCAATAGTCAATTGTCACTGGCCTTTGTCGATTTGCACTGTGCAAAGGGAAATATGTAGATGGGAGAGATTTAGTCTATGTATACTTAGTTCTTCATCTCTGGTAGTATATCGGTTAGTACACGCGCCTGTCAAAAGATATCCCTGAAGAAATTGAATCGCGCGAAAGCTGGGTTCGACTCCCAGCCAGAGAGGCTCACCAGATTACAGCATCCTTTTTGTAAAGGAGTTTCAGCGTATCAAGCTTCAAGAATCAAGACTCGGTCAAGACTGAAGCTTGAAGACTGAAGATTACGACTTGAGTATTTTGCTACCTGCGGAAATGACAGAAGAATTATGATATCTACTCAGATCCTAGTCGAATAACCCTGGGCTCTACCGAGTCCCAATGTCAGTGTCGATTAAGCTAGGAACTGACACTTTGATTCCGCGGCCCTGTACCTGAGTCTGGGTATGGGGAAAAAGAGATATTCCTTGTCATGAAAATAGTACAATGCAGGTAGAAGAAGATAGGTAGAACAGAGAAGGCCAAGGACGCGTACGGCGTTTGTCGGTGGGGCCAGGGCGCGTCGAAATCTGATCATTTTGAGAACATGTAATCTAATCGGTACGGTGATCCACGGACATTGTATCGGTGGTTACTATACAAGACGACATTATGTACTTGGAATTGAAACATGATATTGAATCACTAAACAAAAGATGATCAGTGAGGCTGGGGTTGGATGATGCGCCTTGTCTTGGTGCCCTGGTGCAGCAGTACCAGCAGCAGGATAGAAATCGGAGGAGATAAACGATAAAAAAAAGCTGAGACCGACAATACACCCTAGAGCAGGACTTCGTGTATGGATGATTTCTTAAAATGTGTAAGTGAGAGGTGGAAGCGGAGAGTTGTCGGTGGAGGAACCGGTTCGGTTCGTGGCCGTGTTCGGGATCAGAGAATGCCCAATTCGGAGGTAACTCGCAGTTAACGCCGAGCCGCTCGGATACAAAAAGGGCCAATGCAGTGGGTGCCTCTTTTCCACAAGTCCCCAATCTTACGCACTTGTGGTATGGAGTCCTGGGATTACTACCCTTCCCCGTCGTCGTCTTCCTCGTCGAGCTCGCCCTCTCCCATGTTCAAGACGGCCAATCCTGAGCCGACCACCATCACCTGCCTCCCTACCCACCAGGTCTTTGACTTTCCTCTGCCTTCCCCGTCGCCTCCGCCTGCATCACTCTCGCAGATAGAGGAAACAACGGCGGACGAGACGCCAGTGTCAAATAAACGGACGTCGCCGTCGCCTCATTCAGTGACCGCGAAGCGGCCCAGAGAACGCATGACAACGAGGGACTTCGTCCCGCCGGATGTGTCCGGTCTCTCGAAACGAGAAGCACGGCTGGTGAAGAACAGGGCGGCAGCATTCCTTAGTCGACAACGGAAACGAGAAGAATTCGAGGCCATGGAAATGTGAGTAAATTTTTCATTATTCCTTTAGTACTAGGCAGGTAGCTGACAGGATGTATGCAGTCGGGTAGCCGAACTCGAACTTGAAAACGCACGTTTGCAGACATTGGCAGGAGGCGCATCACCGCCGTCGCCATCACCGTCGATGTCGACTTCGTCCGAGATTGACGACCTGCGCGCCCAGCTCGCTGAGGCCCAGGCGCTTCTGCAATCTTCGCCCCAACCAGAAGCCATCAAGGCCGAACCCACTGAAACGCCGCTTCCCTCCTCATCTTCATCCAAGTCCGCCTTAATGGCACTTCTATGCGCCCTGCCACTTCTGCAGTCGCTCCCAATTTCACCTTCTCCCGCTACAACGACATCACCGTCGTCCTCCGCCCTTGACGTCTCCTTCGACGCGCAGACTGCCTCGAATGGCGCCATTCGAGTTCGTATACACGACCCTCAGCCGTCCTCTCCTGCTCCTGCTTACCCGACGTACGACGATCCATTCTTTGGAATGGGCCTCGACATGGGATTCGACAATGATTTTCTTTCCCCTGTCACGGTTCCGACGACAACGTCGCCTGTCCCATCCCGTCGCGTACGCATCGCTCTTCGGAGCACCGAACAGGCCGAGGGCGGCGAGTGGGAGGTCCAGCTGTGCTAACCTCCGAGTCCGACGGTATAGGTGTTTGAGCGCTCTCGCCGTTTTGCTACTAAATTTTATTTCTCCTTGTTAACGTTATCTCTGTACATGCCTCTCGCAAAAAGTAACATATTATGTTCATTGCTCTCTGTATACCTAGTACCATAGGATCCCAATCTAGTTTGTCTCTTTGTTTTGCATTCATTCTCAAACACGGACTATAGAAATCTCCTGTCTTTTTTTTTTTTGCATCCATCAATGATCATTCCCACCCCTTCCCGGTCTTAAACATCACCCCTTTGCTGATTTGACCAAGGTCGAATTGTACTTGAGATATATTGCTTTGCGGCGTGTTACTTGACAATGAGAGAAGTCCATTCATTCCCAGTCTCGTCACAGGGACGATCCGGTCGTACGTGCATGGCATGATGGCATACCGCACGCACGAGAGCCAACTTGGCAGCATTGGCAGTTTTCTGATGTCCCCACTGCTGAGTGGAGAACTTCAACTCGGCAGCACGTTTTAATTGGTGGCTCTGATGGTCCCACTTGCGGTCAATTCTGATATAGATATCTGTTCATCCGGCTATCCACTTATCTGACCACCGCTGCGCGTGTATCGGCCCGGTACAGGTCCCGACGCGCGCGCCCCTGCAACGGAACTGGCCTAGGAACCAGTTGCACGTTCACTACGGCGAAATTTTTCCCGAAGTTCGCTTTGGACTTGTGCAAATTCATCATCATATCATTTCGGGTTCCATTCGGCCTATTGATTGATGATATCATGCCCTCGCCGTCGAACTTCTGCTCTTACGGTATTCAAATATAACACCTTCACGGTCTTGGTTACAAGAAAGTATCAAACCGAGCTGTGGGTGGGTCCTTCAATTATCGGCCGTTGGACCCGGGGCACGGGACGTCGGCAAGCCCTCCTGTTCCTCTCCTAGCTCCCAAGTTCAAATTGACCAAGGTACATTAGGCTCGGAGGAACTTGCAAGTGACGTCAGTCCGTACAAGTCCCGTTGAGAATCCACCTCCCATCGCCGCCGAGGTTCTTCTCCTTGTCAGAACAGTGTATATCCACCGACCGTTCTTCCTTCGTTCCATTGTTCTGTGTCACATTGGCAGAGAAGAATGAAACAGATGTAAGTTCAACCCCAGCAGCGGCCGACCACCTGCTCGATACCCGACATCTTACCGATAGTCGCTGACATGAAACTGAAACTAACCGACACCCCGAGGACGACCCACGACTAAAGCGAGAACCAGAGTAAGAGATTGCAGGGACAAAGCGGTGCAGAGTACCACAGAGTAAGAATAGACACAGAGAGTGAAGAGTGAGTTGGGGAGGGTGCCCCACGGCCCTCATAACTTGGGTTGAACAAATGAGCGAGGCATCCAATCGCGCTTGACTTGTGAAAATCACAAGTCCCAAGTTCCAGGTTCCCATCCCAATGAGGTCATACCGAACCAGCTCGTTTCGTCAAATACGTTAATTCGAACTGTCAATTGGAATTTGGAGCCGAGGGATGGCTTCAGTCGACGTCTAGAGACGAACGAAATGGGCAAAGTTGCACGAAGAGAAGAGGATATAGTCCGCCACGGATTAGTGTCTTCGCAGCTTCGAACCCTTCTTGATGCGAGTACCTACTATAAACGCCCATATTTGCCTGTGTATTCCTTCCGGGGATGTGGTGATGTCGAGAATGCCATGGTATTGTGGCGATGAACTAGCGGTTCCTGAGATAAGATAAAACAACGCGTATGGATGTCTTGGCGCGTCGGGAATGGACTGCGGGTAACAAGTGAATGTTATTCTGCGAGTAGGGCATGAGGTACCAGGAGGATAAGCTAAGCGGGAGAGCAGGGCCGTGGCATAAACTTGTGAAGATAAGCGGATATTGGTTACGCATAGACCAACAGGCCGTACTCGAACCGGCGGGCCCTTGTCCAGCCCGTTATAACCGGATTTGATGATCCCCATAGCAGGTATCCATGCCTGAGATCTTGAAGGTTTAGGACCTAGAGGAGTAGCGCAGGCGGTGCATTTCAGCCTAGGCGGCGCCGCACAACGATGGCAGATGACGTTCTGTGCTGTAAGTATTAGCAATATTTTTACGAGCCCTTGGCGGAGGGACGTACGCGTCTAAAATCGTCTCGAATTCCACATTTCATCTCTTTTACTTGCCGACTACACGTGCAGTGCATAAATGGGATAAGCAGCTGCCAGTGCGGAACAACGAAAATATAAGAGAAAAGACTCGTAATAGAAGATCTGATAGAATCATCGAAGAGTAATCCAAATGAGATGAAAGGCGGCACACCTTGAGAATGAGGGTGCATGTGTAAAAAGACCACTACCGCTTTCAACCCTCTACATTCTCTGTAGTTCAAGAAGCGATTTGAATACCATTCTCTTTTGCGCTATGCGGACTGCCGCTTAAGAAACGAAAAGGAAAGCACATTACGCTTCGATGTACCCTCGAGATGTGCAAATCCACATGAGAATACCGACGAAGGTCTGATGACTGAAAAGCTATCACGGGAGAGCTGCAATGATATGTAGCGACATTCTTCCTCCGACCCGAGAACAAATAACAATGACACCGGTCTTACAGGGCCCATGAGCATGATGATGGCGGTGGTACTGAATTGAAGGGCCCTAAAATTCCGGAAAATGATATAATGATGGACCGTGGCTCAAGTGCGCGTGAAGCCATATCGATGATGTGATGGAGCCCGGAACGTTTTCATGCTTCATATCGCGCTGAGAACATGTGCCAAAGGGGTGGGTGACCTGCCGGTGGAGGGTCGACAACTGCCTAACACCGAGACCGATGCCACTTCTGGATAGAAGGGGATCTCCGATGTACACTAAGCCATGCATGAGAGACTAGATATTGACTGAAATCAAAGACGACGCACTCCACATTTTCGAGACCCCCCGCCTGACCTTCTTTCAACTTCGTTTCCCCCACCACGATTATGAAACTGTAATGAAACGTTGCTCTTCAAAAATCTTTACGCATACTATGCAAAAGTCATACCGATGTAATGATGTGACCGAGTACCATTCCAGGCGTCATGCCGGTAATTGACACTGCATTGTTCCTTCAGCA